ATTTTTTGAAACCACCCCCAAAGAGTCAGGAAAACAAGAAAGACAAAACACAGAAGCTAAAGAATCAACGACCCCATTTTTTTAAGGGGGCAACCACTGCGCCGAAAGGGATAAAATGGGGGTCCGTTAACTTGGCCCCCCCCCCCCACTGAGAGATTTGATAGTTGTATTATTTTGAAATGAATGCGCTCGTTATGCGCTCATATGCGCCACCGATAATAACTCTTGCGCCATTTTTAGAAATCCGAAAAAACATTTGGGGGAGGCCAAGTGAACGTAGCCCCCCCAGTACGTATTTTGTCGCTTGTAACTAGGTCACCTGATACATTTGGTTATGCGCTCAATTGCGCCACTTGAATTAAAGCTAGCGCCATTACGGTTAAGCCATAAAAAATTTTTAAAAAGTGGGGGGGGGCTAATTTAACGTTTTCAAAAGTTACGTTTTTTAACATGTTTTTTCTACTACATCGTACCTTTCATCATGCGCTAAAATGCGCCGTAAACAAAAATCTTGGCGCCATTATAGTGTTTCAGAAACACTATACAGGGTGTTTTTTTGGGAGCTTTAGTTAAACGATTCTGGGAAAGTAAAATAGGTAGGTTTTTAAAAATTTGTATTTAGGAGTTACTCCGAAGGCCGAATCGATGTAAAATATTTTCAAAATGGACGCACTTCCGGAAATAACTTTTGAAAACGCTAAGTTAGACCCTCCACTTTTTAAAAATTTTTTATGGCTTAACCGTAATGGCGCTAGCTTTAATTCAAGTGGCGCAATTGAGCGCATAACCAAATGTATCAGGTGACCTAGTTACAAGGGACAAAATACGTACTGGGGGGGGGCTACGTTCACTTGGCCCCCCCCTCAAATGTTTTTTCGGATTTCTAAAAAACGACAATGGCGCAAGAGTTATTATCGGTGACGCATATGAGCGCATAACGAGCGCACTCATTTCAAAATAATACGACTATGAAATCTCTCAGTGGGGGGGCCAAGTTAACGGACCCATAAAGTGGAAGCTTTGAAAATAGGGTTAGCTTCTGTTCAATAGCACTTTGATCAATTTGACAAAGAAAATGTACAAATAGTATCAACATCTTACTCAGTAATCCCTCACAATAGAAGGGTAATTCGAATAAATCAACAGTGTAATTCCTCATGGAATTTGCACTTTTTAAATAACTAAAAAATCATAAACGTTTACTGCTCGTTTATCAACTTTCATTACTTTCGTTATAATTTTTCTAATCGCAAGCTATCACGTTGATTAACTATTACGGTCACTTCGGATTCTTTAAATCCATTAAAAGAAAATCGAGAAATCTCACAAACCTCTAAAGAAATATGTTTCTTTATACAGTAAATAAATGGGAAAAGTGGGCACTTTTTGTTCAACAATATTATAGAGTTCAGAATACTAGCACTATCTATTATTTTCAAGTTCTCTATTTACCAATATACAGTACAACCTCGATAATCCGAATACACGCTAGTCCGAAATCGCTATAGTCCGAAAGATTTATGTGTACATAGTTGTGTATGTACATACTGTACTCATAAATACAGCTTTTTTACAAGGATAAAGTTTAATATTGTTTTACGTGCAGTATTTAACTGACTTCTGTCCTTGGTCTGTTAAATTTATGTTTTGTTGAAAAGAATAAAGTTTATTTCTTAATGCTTGTGTCCAAATTTATTATTTTCACTAGTTTCGCGATAATCCGAAATTTTGATAATCCGAAAGGTCGGTGGTCCGAATCTATTCGGATTAACGAGGTTGTACTGTAATGAGTAGTGTAGAGTAGTGAAAGACTTTTTCTATAGTAGTAATTAGAGTTTTAAATTCACTTCTAAGGGAAAATTTTGAAAGAAAATTATTTGTCTTGTTTAACTGGAAACTGAAAAGTTGGTCTCATTACAGATATCGCGGGTTAAGTCGCATTAGATGTAAAATAGCATTTTTGCCCTGGTTTTTCCACAAACTTTGCATTTTTTCCTTTGCATATTTGAGCGATTAAGAAAATATGATTCGGGTCAATTTCTTTGGTGAGAATTAGACCTAAAGGTTAAAAAGTAAGTACCATTAGTATTCAGAGACAAATTTTAATTCGGAATTGTTTACTCTCATTCATATTCTTGGAGTGTTTGCAAGTAAAATAATATTTCTATTCCGTTCTGGTGAGAAACAACATTCTTGTGTGAGAAATATACAATTATTTATTGTAATTTATGCGGACCTAAACCAAAGACAACGCGTTATATCTATGTTTGTAGCTTGTAGCTTGCGGATTCCCATGGTACTTTAGTAAGAAAATTTAGGTATAATTTGTGCATTAATTTTGCATGAATTTATAGTGGTGTATTAATATCCAAGTAGCCCCTCTTTCATTATGTGAGTTAGGGGAAAAAGTGTAGACGTAGATACTTATAGTAAACGCCCGACAGGAACACTTTCAAGTTGTTCAGTCGAGTATCGAGTAAGTACCTCTACCCTCCGAGTCTGCTACGAAACAATAGATAGGTATTGTTTTTGTTCCTAAAGCTTGCTTCCTTTGTTGCTGGCAGACGCCTAAGTATCAAGTATCTGTAAAAAAATATATGTGCGACACACGATTTAAATGCTACCAAGTAGTAGGTATATGCACAGGGTGAGTCATTAGGCATTAAGTTATTTCGCGCAATGAGTCAACACTCACCCTGTACTTACCTCTTCGTAAAATCGAACCCGAAAATGCGGATGAAATTAAATTAAATTAGTATTCATTTGGCATTAGACGGTGGAAGGTGACACAACACCTTAAAGGCAATTATTCGCCAAGAAAGCAAATGTGATGGTTTTTAACTTCCCCTTCTAGGATAGGCAATCGTTTAATCGCCTCGCCCTGATTTCCAGAGAGGCTCACTTCAGTACCTGTGCTATTCAACAAACCCTTAGCTTTGGAGGATGCCAGAGTGGCCTGCGTCCTCAAGTGGAGGCAGATCGAAAAGGGCCTCCATGATATCGGTGGGAGTTGTTCGGATCGCGCCCGTACTAAGGTTATGGAGATTGGAGAGGTCTGGGCCACCAGACAATTGCTGGTCCCAACCGTTTAAACCGAAAAGGAAAAGCGAAACCGGAACCGAAAATTGTTTTCAGCGGAACCCGGACCGAAACCGTTACAAATATTTTTTTGATAACAGGGTCAGGTCTAGGAGCCTGCCTCTGGGCCCGGATTGGGTCACGAGAAGCGGTTGGTTTTGGGGTCGATGGGACAGTTTGGATCATTTGAATCTCCTCTGTCCTTCAGCGCCGGAGATGGTGTGACTCGGTGACTTGCAACGGAGCTTGAGGAATATCCTGGAACGCTCCCTCTGGTTTGCTATTTTTAACTTTTTCCATGTCGGATGTGTATGAATTCGTCCTCCGAGAGCTCCCCACCAAACAAGGGGACGTTTATCAAGACGCCAGGGCTACTAAAAGCACGTAGCTTCCAAAGGGAGCGGGGAACAGTCCTGGTTTCGCTTCGGAGCAGGTAATTCGAGAACGCCAGTCCGTTTGCTGTCACTAGCCCTCCAAATGCTCAACCAGTCGCGGTCTAGCAGAAAGGTCAGAAATCTTGTATCAGGAGAATATAATATGCGAGGAGATTAAAGGTTAGGATAAAATATTAGTGAGGTTAGGTTGGTGTTATAGTTAAGTTAGGTCAGAAATCTTGTATCAGGAGAATATAATGTGCGAGGAGCTTGAAGGTTAGTATAAAATATTAGTGAGGTTAGATTAGTGTGATAGTTAGGTTAGGTCAGAAATCTTGTATCAGGAGAATATAATGTGCTAGGAGATTGAAGGTCAGTATAAAATATTAGTGAGGTTAGGTTAGGTAAGAAATCTTGTATCAGGAGAATACAGTGTGCGAGGAGATTGAAGGTTAGTATAAAATATTAGGGAGGTTAGGTTAGAGTGATAGTCAGCAATCTTGTATCAGGAGAATATAATGTGCGAGGAGATTGAAGTTTAGGATAAAATATTTTTTTTCTTTCGTGATGGTTTTGTTCGCCTTTTACTCGTCTAACTCGAGAAAAAGAGACAGCGATGTCAAACCTTCGCCAATCGATTTCTACGAGTTCAAAGATCAGTGCTATTGAATATATGAGCCGGATCAAAAGTCTGGTTTCCGAATACCAGAGAAGTGATAAAAAATTCCTCTTCGAAAATCGTATGCGTTTGTTTTCATATGTTTTGAGGACCACTACTGGAAGTAAGAATCTCAGATCTGAGATTAAAAGCGTTTTTTCTACGGTCTTAACAATAGGTAATAAACCAAAACCGAAAAGACCCTTTTCTATGAATCTGTCTTTTCGGAATCTTTTGAGAGCTAAACCTCAACCCAACTTTAGTCAGTCCGGTGAAGGTAGAAAAAGGGCTTATTAATATGAAACAAAACTCAAAATGGAATTCTTTTCCCTTAATTCCGTACACTATAAATTTACAAAGTTAAATGAACTTTGAAGATGAGATAAAAATAGTAGTAGGTAATGGATTCTTTTGGCACATATTTATATTTTATGTTTCGAGTTCAATCCTCTATATAAGAGCCTTTGGGCCATAGTAAAATATCGAGTTTTACAATAATGGGGTTCTGCGGTTTTATGGATACATAAAGAAAATTGGAAAACTGAGATTGTATCTTCTATCCTCATTCTAAACGGAGAGACTACCTGCAGTTGAATTAACTCCACGCAACTAGTTCCACGTGCCTCCTCCTTCAGGTGATGAGCGGTCAGTACACGTATTTCTATTGCTCTTTATAATTTGGGTATGAACGGCACGTAGTAAACTTAATTAGCGACAATAAGTGGGAAAGTGCAATATTTATTTTTAGACCAAACATAATTTATTTATAAATGCCGTCCGTGATTCTTAATGGACTTCCTCATCGCAATGTTTATTTTAATTAGTTTAAAAGTAGCCGTTGCCGAGATTGTAGCATTGAATTTATAACTATCATCATAAATTCAATGATTGTAGCATTCGAAAGTTGCAATCGCGTTATTATTTTAGGAGTCGTCTAAAAATATTAAGAAAAACGCAATCGATTCGAGTGGATGTAGGTGGCAGCAGCGTCGCGATTCCGATTCAAATCGTTAGCGGCTGAGGGTGGGAATTCAAAAAGTTCGCGGGGGTTGCGATATAGCGCTTTTATTGATTTACACGGCGAAGCTGTTACACCCACCGGAGGGGAACGCTATTGTTGGTTGAAATCTGCGCCTTTCGCGCTTGATATCTTATCAAGTTGCTCAGTGTATTAAATAACGTTGAAAGTAGAGTTTGTTCAAGGATTCCCCTGGAAAAATGTCAGGTACGTTTCAATTCTAATTTGTTTTGTAATTAGACAAGCAATTGCGACAGTAAAGCGTTAAGGTTATCTCAGTGGGACGCTCTTCCTAGTTACATTGTACAAATGTAGTTCAATGATTCGATTTAGTGCGTAATTTAAGTTAAAAAACGGTTTATTTACCGTTTAAGTAAATATATGATAAGCCCGTTCAGATGTTCCCACTGTAACCAAGGTAAATAATATTAGTTTACAATTACATTTGAATGTCATTAGATCGCATTGCGCAAATAACAATAAACAAAACGATTAACTAAGTGGCAACAAGGTCTATTTGTTTATTTTAAATACAGGCTGGCCAATATAAATAATGTTGTTCCCACCTTCCCACGAAACCGTTTATTTTAATTTATCAACATTAATTAATTACAAAATGCGGATTATACGATTGCACAATCCTGCAGATTTGAGAAACGATCCTCACTGCATTTCTTTCGAGTTTGATAATTTTTGAAACTTTTGGACAATTTGTCATAAATGTGGGAGACCGACTTCACATCCTGATACTGGTCACAACTTGCGCCAAATTTTTAGGGGCTGCAAGAAAACAAATTTGGGAAATAATTCTATAGTACTATCGTGGAAAAGTACGTAACCTCTTAAGAAATTGAAGTTGGCACACTCTGCCACATTTCAACGAAATTATGTGAACTTTGTGGAAAATTTAGGGCTTGTCACGCAATTTTTTTTGTTGAAAACCCTTAATTAAGGTGCCCTCTAGTCCATTTTTATCAATTTCATGAACAAATTAGGAGGAAGAAAATCGTATTAACACTTTTCTGTAGTAAGTAAAAAATAATTTTGGGTACAAAACGCTTTTAATTGGTTTGGAGGGAAGGGGGGGATTTCGAGGAGCCCATAGGCGCAAAATATGTAAATTCGGTCCTGGTGATATGGCTTCCGCGGTACCTGGATACCGTGTCTTTGTAAGCGTTCTGGAGAAGTGCTCATTACTTCGACGTTGAAATTGGAACTGACCGAAATGCAATTCGATTTGCTTATATAACAAACGCGGCTCTTTCTCGAAGGTTCCCGAGTATTCTAGAATGTTCTCGAACAAACACGTCGTATTTCTCGGAAAGATTGCGTCACATCTGTCTTCGCGCTTTATCGCCGATTCTTCTTAATCGATTCAATGGCTTGATTTTAAGAGCATATCAATTATCTTTCAAATATCCTTATTAGTTATTTCATTTTTAGCGCAAATTTATGTGTCAAAAGTAGCTTTTAATCGCACTTGAGCCGGCCTGCTAAGTTGTTGGCAACAAATGCGGGCTGTCGAAAAACGCTTGGAGGAAGACAAGGTGTGTACATGTACCTACCGGTGTCGTGTAATTAACAACTTTAGGGAAGGGGCTACATGATGCGGTCGGCGACATCTGGGCGCCATCCCGAAGCGTGTTGCGCTAATGTGGTGATTTTTGCGATTGCACCGACTTTGGGCACCCAAAAGTCTCTTAAAAGCTCGAATCCCAGTCTCTCTTTCTCGTGTCGCCAATAGACGGTGGAGCTATGAAAAGTGCCTCCAAAATTGAGTACTATGTTGTGGAGGGTTTTTAGCAAAATCCACCAAAATACGAATTGTTGGTGAACGGGATTCTACGCACCAAAATTAATAAGAAAAAGTGTTTACCCGAGAAATTTTGGTGCAGTCGATTTTTGGTAAAAAAGGAACGTTATACACTGCCTTTTTTTGGGCCTCGAAAAAAAAATTGTCTCAGATCGATCCGGAAAAGAAATTTTCTGATAGAATGTGGCCTGTAGAATCCATAATTTCAAACAGTTCCAAGATTGGGCTACTAGTTCAAAAGTTACAGCCCTTTGATTTTTTTTTCGAAATTGGTTTCTAGTCTATAACTTTTGATTGAGAAGTCTAATCGAAAAAGTACGAATTGTTTTGGATTCTACGCACCAAAATTAATAAGAAAAGGTGTTTTCCCGAGAAATTTTGGTTCAGTCGATTTTTGGTAAAAAAGGAAGGTTATACACTGCCATTTTTTGAGCTCCGAAAAAAAATTGTCTCAGATCGATCCAGAAAAAAATTTTCTGATAGAATGTGGCCTGTAGAATCCATAATTTCAAACAGTTCCAAGATTGGGCTACTAGTTCAAAAGTTACAGCCCTTTGATTTTTTTTTCGAAATTGGTTTCTAGTCTATAACTTTTGATTGAGAAGTCTAATCGAAAAAGTACGAATTGTTTTGGATTCTACGCACCAAAATTAATAAGAAAAGGTGTTTTCCCGAGAAATTTTGGTTCAGTCGATTTTTGGTAAAAAAGGAAGGTTATACACTGCCATTTTTTGAGCTCCGAAAAAAAATTGTCTCAGATCGATCCAGAAAAAAATTTTCTTATAGAATGTGACTAGGGAATGCAATCCCGCAGCAAAATCTCAATCCCGGTATTTGCGGAATTGCTAGGTGTTAATCCCGCGGGATCCCGGTATTTACCTGATCCAGCAAGACTTTAAATAAATTGGCAACTAAGCAATTCTGTGCGGTTAACTTCTGCATTAAAATAAGTCGCTAATTATCACAATATTTAACAAAAAAGTACCTTCGGCCTAACTTAGAACTCAAAAAAACCTCACCTGTAAAGCACAAAAAGGTGAACTTCTAAAGTGCCTCAAAAATCATAGTAAATTTTTAACGAAAAAAGTTTAACAATTATATAAAAAATAACTTCTCCGTTATGCGTTCCATTAACAAAGTAAACAGAGTCGTCCACTTGGTTGACAAATTCCTCAGTCCCGCAAATCCCGCGGGAATGACATTGAAAGAAGTAAAAATATACAGGGTGTTCTATTTAAAAAATCAGTTATTTATTGACACCGTACAAATGGGACACCCTGTACATTCAAAAATAAATTCTTTGATGCGCAATCTGTGCACAAAAGATTTTTTGTTGCAGGGCCCTGTATATAACCAAATACGATAATATTGGATCGAAAATTTTTAGTGACACTTTAAAAACTGGGAAATTTTGTCAATTGTAACTTTTGGCTCTTCCGTTTCAATAGGTTGCCGACCCCTGGTCTATCGACATAAATGCAAGTCCTAGGGTTGAGTTGGCGGCCCTTCTTATAATAAGGACACTCCTCCACCTGACCTAGACCTCTTACTTGTCCCCTGTAAACCCAAGGTTCTTGGTATGTCTGCTTTACAGCTGCAAATTGCTTTGTAAGAAGGTTATCTCGTCCATCACTGATGTACTAGGTTCCCTCCTCCTCTAGCGGTGCCAACGGTTCCGATCTATGATTGGAGCCAAGGACCGCCACACGAGCCGAAAGCTCGTCGACATCTTCCTCGACCACTAAGGGCGTCAGTAGTAATCCCGACGCCCCTTGGAGGTCACTAGCGAGGGATTGACCCTCCTCTGTCGCAATGGAACTGGGTCATGCTGCTCCGGTGGAGCCCTCTCTCTTACCTGGCGTAAATGTGACGTGCGCTTGAAAGTTCTGCCGCTGGAATATTTAATAGGATGCCTCATCGACAACAAATGCGTCCCTGCTGAAGAACCTCCTGCATCGGCACATCCTGAAACCAGGATTTTGCCTCTGGAGGTGCTCAAGATGACGGATTTGGTTACCCTATGGAAGTGCCTCTCTGAAAGACGCGCCATCTCTCCCGGTCTTCTTCAACCGGTCCACTGGTCTTCGCATTCGACCACGATGGCACCCTGCGGATTCCAACGGAACCCTGCCGACCGTGGGAAGGCCCCCCGTCTTCATGTCGTCCACCTCCGGACGCGACCCCGGAACAATGGCCCACCATTAGCATCCCCGCAGCGACTTGCTCATTGACCCACAGCTTTTGGATGCCCCAGAACCTTTGGGCTTCTTCTCAGGTTACCTTGAGCCAGACCCTGGAGGCTTTATCCTCGAGCCGGCGCTTCCTGGCCGTCGCGGTCTGTGCGCCACTTCTATTCTTCTTGCCAAGTCCACCGACAGGTCTTTGAATAAGGCTCTGCGTTGGAAGTCTCCTCTTTCGAGGAGCCTGTCCCGTTACCGGCCCCCTTTTGAGGTCCCAGTTATATGGCCATCTTGGACGAGGAGCGCAGACAAGGTTTGTTTGGTTTTGAGATCGTCCATACAATTTCCACGAGGTCGCCCGGTATTCGAGTCCTTTTCTAGCGATCTCGTCGCTTTGGTGTCTGTCCGTCCGTCCGTTAGCACGATATCTCGAAAACGAATGGAACGATTACGATGAAATTTTGCATGCGGATTCTTTATCAAATTTGTAGATCCAAATTGGCAATGTAGGCCAAAAAATAAAGAAGTTCTGAACCGAATTGCATGAAATTCAAAATGCGCATAGATTTAGTCATACAGGGTGATTCAAAATTGACGTATTTAGCAGCCAAAAATAAGAAATTTTGTTTATACGATCGTATGTCCTAACTTGCTTCGTTTTCTAGATACATGGTGTAAAAGTTTTTTATCGGTTATTCAAAAACCTCTCAGCCGATTTAAATAAAATTTGATAGGCTTATTTGTCGTCATAAGGGCCTTCCTGTGCTGAAAATAAAAAAAAATAAAAATCCATTTTATTTTTACGCCCATATCTAGAAAACGAAGCAAGTTAGGACATACGATTTGACAAAAATTTCTTATTTTTAGCTGGTAAATTCGCCCTTTAAATCTTTTCACCCTGTATAATACTTAATGCCAAGCTGTAACCATACCCTGCAGTTTAGACATTTATTTTTCAGTAAGTGGAAGAAAGCGTCCACTAGTAAAAGAGCTCCCACATATTGGATTACGGCATTACGTAACCGATATACATCTTAATGGCTCAAATTAACCGGAAAAATTATACTAAATTCGTATAACCGCTATAATCTCCCGAAACCACTTAGGCGTATTTAGGAAGTATCCAATTACTGCGTGCATTCTTTAGAGTTGCGTTTCGTCATTCGTAATTTACCTTTTACTGCCACGCGCCTCAATGTATTTTTTCGAAAAAGCCATTTAAATGCCTTAGTCGAAATTGTTAATATAAGTGAAATTTGTCATTAGAAGCATTTTACTTGTATATAGTGCCACGACGATGACAGCTCCAGACGCATAAATTTTAAAATAAAAAAATGATTTACTTAGAGCTTTCTAAATGAAGTTTTGTGTCTCGCTTCTAGATCATAGCATTTCATTCACTTGTTGTGATCCCTCATGCCTACGTCTTCATATCCTTTCATTGTTCGTTTTTTTAATTTAAATTGTTTCTTTCTTCTGTTCTGTAACCGATCTTTTTGTTCCTTCTTTTCTTTCTTCAATGTAAACGTAAACTACCACAAGACCGATAATCTAAAAAGCCTTTTCACGGAAGGTTTTTGATTTTTATTTTCACATAACATTGATCACTCCAACCTAAATACGTAATTTCAACTTTATTGTGGTTCGAAGTGATTTTTTTTACTTTGTTAATACGTCGGCATTACAATATTCCCCAAAAACCGAATTGCGGGGCGACTAAGGAAAATCCTACTGTTGTCGTTTTAGTCTGAGGACTACACATGTAAGGCAGCGGGTAGGCATCCTTACCTAGGATCATATCGTTTGTCATGAAGTAAGATAGAAAGTGTTTCAGGTGACAAGAGCGACAGGGACTACATCGGATTCGCAACGTTGCCGGACCAAGTCCACCGAAAATCCGTCAAGAAGGGTTTCGACTTCACCTTGATGGTCGTAGGCGAATCCGGCCTTGGCAAGTCGACGCTCATCAACAGCCTGTTCCTCGAGGACCTATACAAGAGTCGAATCATACCCGAAGTTGACGCGAAGATTCAACGCACGACCACCATCGAGAAGAAAACGATGGAAATCGAAGAGAAAGGTGTTAAACTAAGGTTTGTCTCGACCCTCACCCTTTTCCTCTCTAACACTCGGTCTTCCAGACTGACAATAATTGATACTCCAGGATTTGGGGACGCGGTAAACTGCGAGGACAGCTGGAAGGTTTGCACGAATTACATCGACGAGCAGTTCAAGCAGTATTTCACGGACGAAAGCGGTTTAAACAGGAGAAATATACAGGATAACCGGGTGCACTGTTGTTTATATTTCGTACCGCCGTGGGGACACAGGTATTGTTACAGCTCCATTGCCCGTTTCTAACTGTGAGAGTAGTTTAAGACAAATGGATCTGGAATTAATGAAGCGCTTGCATCGGAAAGTCAACCTGGTGGTGGTAATCGCAAAGGCGGACACGTTAACGGCGACAGAAATCGTCAAGCTCAAACAGAACATCCTGAATGACATCCGAGAGAACGCGATACAGGTTTGAAGGGGCTTTCCCAATGTACTAAGTGTCAGTAGTCGATTGCAGATGTACGAATTTCCCGAGTGCGATAGCGACGAGGACGAGGACTTCAAGCAGCA